GTTCTAGAAAGAGCGCAGGGAGCTGGCATAGGCGGATGGCAAGAGGGGACGTGACTGCAGACCCCCTGGGGAGGCTGTCCTGATGGCTGAGGATCCTGAAGCGAGGCTGTCTTGAACATCCCCGATGGTGTCACCCACCTGGCATCACACATCAAGGACATTCACCGAGTCCTAATTAACATTTAGTAAAGATGGTGAGGTGTTTCACAGATCCTCTCTAGCTGAGGGATTACCACATGCTTCAACTATATAAAATTGGCTGACCAGGATGAGCAGCACTCCCACAGCGGGCCGATCCCCGCGGGCCATGCCACCCACTAGTGCATGAATCCGTGCACCAAGCCTCTAGTGTGTGTGTGTGTGTGTGTCACAATGTTGGGGGGCCACTGGCGGTCTTTAGGGGAGACAAGAATGTGAGTCGCTAATATGCAAGGTGTCTCCTCAGGAGTTCGACTGGGAGTTTGATTGCTCGCTTTGACGTGTGCAGACTACCAGGGGGTGGCGAGGAACATGGTGGGCGACCAGCAGCCCAGTGGGGTTGCTGAGGGAGGAGGGAAGGAGAAGGCGAGGAGGCGGGGAATCTGATTGGCCCTGATAGCTGACCAGGCCTATGGACCCTACCTAGGCATGAGTTTCTTGCACTGGGCCTCTAGCAGATGAATAACTGGGAATACCCAGGGCCACCGTGGCCTTTGCAGCTGTTGGAGGGAGTGAGGAGTCACGCTTCCCCTTCCTTCTTCAGAGAATTGCACCAATGGGCAGTCCCTGGAGACCACTGGGGGAGAACAGGGAATTATAGTAAGAATTTACCCTGGAATGTAGAATGAGTTGCCCCCTTTCAATCTCTGCACCTTCACACTGCTCCTCTTGAAGCCTGGAAGAATGCGCTAGCCTCTTCTTCCTCTAGTTCAGTGGTTCTCCACCTTCCTAATGCCCCGACCCTTTAATACAGTCCCTCATGTTGTGGTGACCCCCAATTTCATTGTTACAAATTGAACATAATTAAAGCATAGAGATTAATCACAAAAGCAATATGTAATTATATATGTGTTTTCCGATGGTCTTAGGCGACCCCTGTGAAAGGGTCATTCGACCCCCAAAGGGGTCGCGACCCACAGGTTGAGAACCACTGCTCTAGTACCGTTGCTCCTTTCCCCAACCCAGCCTGGAGACACCATCCCCAGGAAGCTTCAGGAAAGCTCTTCCCCCTCTTTTCCACCCTGCCAAGTTGACGTTATTTCTCCTTTTCTGGGCTCCGTCCCAGAGGGAGGGGATGGGGAGCAAACGTCCGCCTCCACCAAGGCACTTATCGCGGCGGACCTTGCTTTACTTGTTTCTCTCTCCCTGTTCGCCTGCATTCTTTCTCCTCGTTGAAGTTACGAACCAGGTCCATGTGTGGGCTCTGTGCCTAATGCAGTACACACACACACACACACACACACACACACACCCTTTCGCTGCACCCGCGGGTGCCAGAAAGAGCGGGACACGCGCATTTTGGGATTTTAGAACTGCAAGCGCCCAGAGTCATCTGGTGCAGCCCTCCCCTTTGCAGATGCTCTTCCTGGAATCTCCTAAGACGAGCTTCTGGGTTCATTCGGCCCCTTTTCCTTCTCGAAGCCCAAAGCACTTTCGCTGTGGATGATCTCAACATTCCAGGCAGGTAGGGAGGTGTCAGCAGCCTTGCTTTGTACCGTAGGGTGGGTACACTGACTCAGACGACGGGCCTCGTGGGGCGGGAGCGGTAACGGGAATTCAGGGCTCCCAGCCAGAGAGAAATTTATTGTGTATCCTTTGGGGAAGCGTGAAAGTGAAGTAATCGACTTACGAGTCCCCGGCGGGACCTTTCGGCCCTCTAGAAGGGTCGGAACGGGGTCGAGAGGATTAATGCGGTAGAAGAGCTCGTGGCATTGGCCCATTGGCAACTTTGCGAGGTCCAGCCGAGTCCGCCGCCCTTCGCTGGACAGGGTGACCAATAGCCTGCGGCTTCTTTAAGGCCCCAGCGTCCCGCCCCGGCTCGGCGCGGACCTCCTCCCACCTCCTCGCCCCAGCTCCTCCAGTTCCAGACTTCCCTCGGCGATGAGGTCATCTCCCCGCTTCCCATTGGCTGCTCCGGGCCGTCAGTCACAGGAAGTCCCGCCGCCGTCCTCCTCTCCCTCGCGCCCCTCCCTTCCTCGCTCGCCCCTCGGCCCGCCGGCCGGCCTGCACGCGGCCTCTGATTGGCCAGTGTCGCTATCACTCCTCCAGCAGGCGGCGTGGAAGGCGGGAGGCGGGTGTGGTGGGAGGGTCTGCAGCTTCCGTGGCTGGGAGGAGCCGGCG